ATAGTTTGCATGCCCGCCCGCCCGCCCGCTCACATGATAACATAATACGTCCCCGTCTTCGACGGGCGTATAAAAACTATGGTTGTGATGTTTCCATGCTGACCAGTATAATATACATATGTGCATGATTAGAAAAACTACAAAACTGTCTAACTAATGATCAAATATTTGATTTCCTTCAGTCCCTATGGGTGTCTTCTACTGGACAAAGTGGGCTGGAGCAAAGAGTGAATACTACAACTCAAAGGAGTATCTGGCAGAACACCCTGAATGAACAGCTTTTGGATGTGAAAGACATTTAAATTTTGTTTTGATGTATGAGAAATAGTAGAAATATTCTGTTTGATTAAAGTATGTAACAATCTGTATTTCTTACTTTTATTACTTTTTAGTTCACGCCATGGCGCGGCGTCTGTCGTCTGTCCATCAACTTTTCCTTTAAAACACTAATTGTCCTGAACAGCCCAGTAGATTTTGACTAAATTTGGTCTGGAGCACCCTTAGGCCAAGGGCATTAAATTTTGTATAAATTGTGGGTGATCCCCCTGGGGGCAAAGGGGTGGGTCCAAATAGGGGAAATAGAGGTAAAACCTTTAAAATCCTTCTACCATAGGGATTAAAGGAGTTCATCCCAATTTGGTCTAGAGCATCATTGGTCCAAGGGGACTTGAATTTGTATAAACTGAGTTTGGACCCCCTGGGGCAGAGTCCAATAGGGGAAATAGAGGTAAAACGTTTGACATTCTTCTCCTACCATAGGGATTAAGGGATTTTATCCTAGTTTGGTCCTAGTTATCCCTTTGGATGCAGAGGGTGGGGCTCAAAAGGGGAATTTGATGTTTATATCTTAAAAATCCTTCTCTTTCTGTACCATTGGAGGGATTTTAATCCAATTTGGCCTGGAGCATCCTTGGGCAAAGGGGACTTTATTTTGTATAAACATAAGGTGTGGCTCCTCTGCACTGTGGCCCCTCTGGATGCAGAGCGGCGGAGCTCAAAAGGGGAATTTGAGGTTAAAATCATGAAAATCCATCTCGTGTACTATTGGAGGGATTTTATGTAATAAAAATAATTTCCCATGGTTGCTTGATTATCCAGGTAGAATCCAATAAAAGGATTTTGACCAAATTTGTTCTGGAGCATCTTTGGTTAAAGGCGCCTCAAGTTTGTATAAACGGATGGTGTGGCCCCTCTGGGGGCAGAATGGCAGGGCCAAATTGGGGAAATAGAGGAAATGTTTTCCACTACTCTACAAGTGAGGGGATTTAAACCAAATGCAGTCTGAAGCATGCTTAGGACAAAAGAATCAATTTTGTATAAACTGAAGTGTGTGAACCCCCTTTGGGGAATATGGGTGGGGCCTATTAGGGGAAATAGAGGAAAACATTAAAGATCCTTCTCCTTTTGAAAGTCAATGTCATTAATTTCAACATACTTGGTAGCCCTTTATCCTAGCATGCTACCGGCCAGATATGATTTCCCTGGGCCTTTTGGTTATTCAGAAGAAGTTGTTTAAAGGTTTTTTTTTAGATAATTGACCCCTGACCTTGAATATGAGAAGAGGTCATTCATTTGAACAAACTTAGTAGCCCTTCATCCCAGCATGCTACTGGCCAAATATTATCACCCTAGGCCTTTTGGTTATTCAGAAGAAGTTGTTACAAAGGTTTTAAACATATCTGACACCTGTAACCTTGAATATAAGTCAAGGTCTTGGTTGCCCTTCATCCCAGCAGGCTCCTGGCCAAATAGTATCAACCAAGGTTGTTTGGTTAATCATCAGAAGTCGTTCAAAGATTTTAACATATTTTACCCCTGTGACCTTGAAAATGGATGAAGGTCATTCATTTGAACAAACTTGGTAGCACTTGATTCATGCATACTACTTGCCAAATATCATCATCGTAGGCATTTTGGTTACGGAAAAGAAGTTATTTTTTGTAAAAAGTTGACACCGGACAGACGGACGTCGCACAATGGCACAAGCTCACTTGCCCATGGGGCAGGTGAGCTAAAAATTTGACGCTGGACAGACGGACGACGGACGCTGCACCACAGCATAAGCTCACTTGCCTTTGGGGCAGGTACCGGTAAGCTAAAAGCTATCAATTATACACTAAAACTCTCCGAACTTCTGGTAAATCAGATGTCATCTAAAAGTTTTAGCACATTTGACTTTTACGGTGGGTCAAGGTAATTAATTTTTAACAAACTAGATAGCTCTTCATCCTAGCATACTAATCATGGTTTTGTCAAAAAGATATTAAAATGTTATAAATTTGACTCATGTGACAGTCAAGTCCCTAGGGGCTGGGCCAGACCCACAGTCAATTTACTCAGTTATTATATCCTGACTGTGTTTGTCTCTTGATGCTCAGCAATTGTATACATGGTTATAGGGTGGGGATCTCAATAACGTCCAAGTTAAAAAGTGTTTTTTGTCCCACCTCTCAAACCTGGGAGTCAGCTTTTCAACTGGTACAATTTTAAATCCACAACCAACAAAGAATGTTCCAAAATTAAACCAAATATGGCTGATATCCATCACTTTGTTCCAAAGAAGTCCCTTATAAATAAATATGAAAAAATTAAACCCCTTTTCGCCCTGTCCTCTTTTAATACAATTTTGAATACCCATCACCTGAGGATGTTTCCGCTACCAACCAAATATGGCTGATATACTTCTCTTACTTTCAGAAAAGAAGTCTCTTAAAGCAATATGGTGAAATTACCCCTTTTTGGCCCTGTCCCTCATCCCCCAGGGGGATAGCCTTCCATTCGTACAATTTTGAATCCCAACAACCTGAGAATATATTCCAACAAAATATGGTAGATATACTTAGTTCTATAGAAGATCAAAGTCATTAAAAGCAATATGGCGAAATTACCCCTTTTTGGCCCCGCCCCTCAATTTGTATATTTTTGAATCCCCACCACCTAGGGAGGCTTTCAGTCAAATGACCAAATTCAAATCAGCGGTTATGAAGAAGAAGGAATTTTTAAGAAATTGTCGATGGACTGACGACGCAAGACGGATGCCAAGGTAGGCATAAGCTCACCTTGGTACTTTGGACCAGGTTAGCTAATGTAAAGTGCACAACTAAGGACCAAAGGGAACCTACAGATGAAATTTGATGGATCTTTTCAGTACTTCTTTTAAAATAGCAAATACAAGAATTGTTTAAAGAGCGACAGATGAGCAAGACCTGGAATCATGATATTTTACAAGCAGCTTTCTGACATGATGTGCTACAAATTTTGCAAAAAGATGAAAACCTTGATCCGTATTCACTAGAGTAGCTCGCTGGCACAGAGTACAAAAAAGAGAAATAACCTTCAGCCATGTTCAAGGTAACAGGAATCAAATTAAAACACTCAAACAACATCACTTCTGAACATGTCTACATGGCACTCTTAGACAGACCCGTTAATTATAGACAGCTTTGGTATCTGTCGTTAGGTATACCAAGATATTAAATTCCAACAATGGAAAATTGTCATTGCATTTACGTTTCTTCGAGAGACAGGATTGTTTCACCTGCAGGGGTTTCTCAGACAAAAATGCCAAGCTACAGAAGGATCTAGAACATCAGAAGAAAGACTATTTCACATTTATGAGAAAAGATCAATGTTCATAAAATAACATTTATTGCACAATATAGTATATGTTAACAAGACCACAGAATGGCAAGTAACAGTAACTCATTTTCACATTATTTCTTAATAATTATAAGAAAAGACATCATTTATGTAATATTGATTATTTTACAAATTAAATGTAAACTGATTTATGTAATTATGATAAAAACACAAAATAAATGTAACATGTTTGGGGGTTTTCTTAGGTAATTACAACTAAGTCATTACCAATTTTCTGAATCTCCTAGGGTTCCTTAAAAACTTTGTGACTCTGCATTTTTTCTTTTTCTAAAGCATGTAAATAATGTATTAAACTGAATACATTCCTATTTCACCAGATCTACAATACATTATTTTTATTATTTAACTAATTTTATTATTGCTACTTTAGTATTGGTTTACATCCAGGAATGTCCAGTTAGTTTTCGGTTTACACATGTCTGTGTTTCCATAAGCAGTGTAAATGTTTTTTTTGCTTTTAATGCCAAGGGTTATTCCATAATTATTTATATGGGGGAGGTGAGATGCACCTGCATAATTATATTATGGGTGTTGGGTTTAAATTCAGGTCTGCCAACCATTCCTGATGATAAATAACTTTTAACATTTGATGGATGGTGGGGTTTCTGTGCCTCACACCCCTCCCCTACAGCTATTTCTGGAAACGTCTTAACTATATTATTATCGGTATTAAAACAGAATAATAAAACACAAATTGTATTTTCATTGCCAACCCCTTTCTCAGATAGATACCATGAAAATCAAAGTAATTTGCATGCGTACTTTTTTACTGGGGAAAAAAAAAAGAAAAATCAGCACCAAACGTTTTAGAGTTGAAGCTAACATAATTAATTATTTTGAACTCTGTTAATCATTCGTTGTTTTTTTTTAATATATAACCACAAATTGTCAGACATGAAAATATCCTTGCTAACATACCGGTACATTTCCAGTTGACACAAGCACTGCCAACTATTGGTGGAGGAGATTAAAAAGTAATGCAAGAAACTCTCGGAGATATTTGTTGTAATAGATTCAATTTCAATAAATGTTGAAAAAAAAACAATCCATTACAGTGTATATCATTCTTCTGGTTCACCATTCATTTTAATATATGGCTAGTACCTATATAATCATTCTATAAAGATGTTAATTGATGAGATGTAAACTCAAGCAACACCATTTATACGAGAAGTCTGTTGCCTTAGCCATTCCTTAATCTTGACAGAAATTGCACATACCTTGAGAAATACATAAATCAATGATTTGGTCAACAATTCACACAATATATACATTGTAATTATCTACTGACTCACACGTCATACAAATGAATACATTTTAATATGTCATTTGGATTATGTAACTATTACATGGTAATTTGGATCCATTAAGCAAAAAAAGATTACACAGCTGTATTCAGGTACAGTAACACTAGCATTATTCCATTGTAGACAGGTTTGAACTGTATAATTTGATGATAATTCTGCTGTGTAAAGAAGGAATTATTCCAGAATGCTAGGCCTTCAATTGCTGAACCACCTGGAGTGGAGAAAGAAAAAAACAATTAACAATTTTTTGTAATTCAAGACAGGTTAATACACCATATATATTTCGAATTTTAAGGCAATAAAACTAATGTTACACACACAACAAATTTCACTGTAACACAGCACCATCACTTTCTAATGAGGAGATTAAACTTCTTCCAATAAGGTTTCTCATTGTTCATAAATATGAAATAATCTAAAAGTTAAGAATATAACAAGAGGCCCAGAGGGCCTGTATCGCTCACCTGAATATTTAAGCAGTCAGAGCAAAATATTCTCATTCAATATTATATTGCACTACATATTTCCCTCGCAAACTTTGTCGGCTCCATCTGTTGAAACTACCAGCCAAATATTATCATATGATTCTATGCTTTTTGGTTCTTCTTCAGAAGTTAATTGACATATTTTTCCCTGTGACCTTGTAGTAGGTCAATTTCATTTTCCTTCTCATACTTTGTTAGCTGTATCCCAAAAAGCTACCAGCCAAATCTAAAGAATCCATTCCATTTGGTTCTTGAGAACAAATTCTTTAAAATGCTGTTGATCTCTGTCCTTTAAGGTAGGTTGAGGTCATTTTCATTCGCAAACTTTGGTGAGCTCTATCCCAGAAAGCCACCAGCCAAATATTATAATTTTATCCTTTGATTATTCAGAAGAAGCCATTTGATGTTTTTGACATATTTGACACCTGTGACCTTGAAAGTAGGTCAAGATCATTTTCATTCTCAAACTTCGTCAGGCTCCTACCAACTAAGCTATCACCCAAATATCATGACTCTAGGCCTGTCCATTCTTCAGAAGAAGTCGTTAAAAGGAAAAGTTGAAGAACGACGACAGATGATGGACGGACGACGGACGCCGCGCCATGGCATTAGCTTGTAATTTTGTTGTGTTCAGTTTGTTTACCCACCTTATTAGCACCTTCCAGACTCGAGATTAGCTTGTCAAGCTCTTCTTTATTAAGTTCTATGGAATGTATCGTATTGTCTTGTCCAGACCCAATATCCAGGTCAAGGGAGACAACTGGTTCCTGGACTGACGAGATCTTGTCACTGGACATGATGAGCTGGCAAATCAAAATATAAACATGTTGAGATTTACGATACATACAGAACTATTCTCCCAACAAAATGGTGTACCATTATCTACCAAACCATTTCACTCACTTATTTGACCATCATCAACTGGACAAAAACTCACCGATGTTTATGGGTTTACAGTGTGGATGTTTATGGGTTTACAGTGTGGATGTTTATGGGTTTACAGTGTGGATGTTTATGGGTTTACAGTGTGGATGTTTATGGGTTTACAGTGTGGATGTAGGGGTTATATTTAGTCTGGCTGCATATTGTTAAAGTTATCAGAATGGGAGTGCCAGATCGTTCTTCTCTTCAGGTCTGAAAAATTATAGCGATTAGAAAATTCTTCTGCATGGTCCTTTTTGAATTTGGCATGGGTATCAGCTACATGCTCATACACAGCATACTAATATCACCTCTCAGACGAGGAGGGTGCCCCCTTAACTTGAAGGTATATAGGTACTGACTGCCCACTTTCTACAACTTGCTTTCTATTTCACATGTCTGTATGGTACAGGATGAGCTAGTAACACTTTTATTCTTAGTCAACCTGATAAGGCCACATTTACAGAAAGGATAGAAATATTTTGGTAGAAAATGATCATTGTGTTGTGAGCTCAAATCCAGCAGTTTCATCCAATAATAAAATTGAAATGTTGTATTAAGCTTAACCTGTTTAATACATACATCTATATCAATTAATCAATTTTATTTGTTACATATTTTTTTGTTTGGTGAAATGAACATTTGGTCACAATTGTGTAACTGTTTATGGTACAGACAGTTAAACTGAGTAAGATTAAGAGGATAGGATAATTACAATCACTCCATACCTTAAGGGTATGACAAAACAAGAGGCCCAGAGGGCCTGTATCGCTTACCTGGATATACTGGTATGTTTAAAGTACTTGATATGAAGTTAAGATGTACATATGAAATTTCAGACAGATCCATCCAGCATTTGTGGAGATATAGGCAGAACAAACTTCAAATGTCAAAATCCAAGATTGGAAAACAATTAAAGATATCTTAACATCAAAACACTTACTGCCATAGTACAATATTACACAAATAGTTTTACCAAAAGGTAATGTTTTCCTTGGTTACCGTTACCACCAGGTCAATGTTGCTGAAAGGATGGTTAGGGTTAACCAGTGGTTATGGAGTATTTAAAACCATGAATACAACAAATTCAGAACATATCATTTTACTGCTATAGATTTGTTTCAGACAAATCAGACTGGTGTGTTTTTTTTATTTTATTTCGTTTCTTATTTCCATCCACAAGTTAACGTAACCAACTTTTGAGCAACAAGGGCCAGGCGACAAAAGGCATTAAGAAACAATTTTGTAATTTCTGTAACATTTGAAATTGAGGTCACACCATGGTTGGTCCCTCATCACTCAAACAGTATAAGAGAAAGACCTGAACACTTTCTGATTGGAATATATTCACATATAAACTTCTTGTTGATATTGATTTATAACAGCTGTAATTGGTAAATCTATCTTAGGGCAGAACCGTTAATACTTGTAATAGGGCTGTCATCAATCCTATTAGTTTACCTTAACTTTCCAATCAAAATCACTGAGGACAGCTTGAGAGATGTTATGAGTCTCTGCCATAAGTTGATTCTGGATTTCATCTCTGCGAGAGTTGACGACGTCCACAACAGTCTGTTTTAAATCCTCTGATAAGGCTCCTAATTCCTGATATATCTGTCAAAATAATTACAGAATTTGTGTTACATCTAATAAAGTATTAACTTTATTTAGCGCCCATATTTTTTTAGACCTCCCTTTCTATTATGCATATTATAAAATATGATCCTTCATTTTTTTCAAAAGTGCCTACCAGTGCTAAATATTACACCCTCTAAATGATAATAAATACTTGCATTACACTTCAGATATGTTTGTTTTATGCAATCTAAACCACAGTTTAGTGACATTACAAGTAGGTTTGGGTAGGTACATGTACGGTAGTGATGAACTCAAATGTTATGTTATAGATATAACTAAGGCACTGATCTAATTTCAGATAAAAAAATAATTAGATTGTCAGCTTGCATTTTGCTCATTACAAATAAACAATATTCTTTTAAACAACATTTTTCTTTAAAAATATGGATTTGAAGAAAACAAAATAACATCTATAGACGTTTCTGAGTTTAATGGTGTTGGAAGGGATGATTATCACTATTTATGGACAAGAGAGATACATTGTAATTATAACAATATAGAAACATCATTTATAACCGGGTTTTTGAAATTATAGCTTTTATTTAAAACATTAATTCATCTGCTTTCTCCTCTTGATATCTAGTTCAAATTTCCGTTGTCAATTAAAATATTATTAAGATAATAATTACATATTTTAGCCCTACATTCTTGTTTAACAAGAATTCTATGAAAACACAAATACCCTCATAATTTGATGCGGTCAGAGAAAATGTATAGAGTGTCTAAGGGTGATTGAAAGAAAAAATATAAAAGACCTGTTTTAAAGGGCAGATATATCCATGTACCTTTCTGTATATCCAATTATGTGAGAAAGTTTCAGGAAAATTGGAAAAGAAATGAAGTGGGTAGATCAAGGGGTAAAACATTCTATTAAAATTAATATATCATATTTATAATATTAATAGGTCGAAGCGTCTTCTTGTACCCGAGTGTGCAAAGTTCAATTGAATACAAATGAAAACTGTACAGCCATGGCAGGGACAATTCTTTCTATATTAACAGTGACCTTGTTCTTAACCTAAGAAGGTAAACATTCTTCAATCTCTTACAAGAACGTATGTTTGTTCTCTCAAAGCTCCTCTGAGGGATAGGGATTATAGTCAGCTGAAGTTCTATTACCTGGTACATGTTATTTTTTTTCAAATGATTTGCTAATTTGATGTAATCATATCCATCCTGTCAGAGAAGAAGCTTCAAACCCACCCTATCTTTGGTGAAGGATTCCCTGACTGCTGCCTTGATGAGAGACTGGTACATGTCCACCACACTCCACCACTGCTGCAGACTCCACACCTTACTGTAATCCTGGTAGGACGGCTGACAGCGATGGCACACTCCATCAACAAGTGTATGTAAAACCTGGAACACACATCATACAATATTACCTCTCTAGTTATATTCCAGAGATCAGTGTATTCTGTATATATCTACTAAAGTGTGTAAATCCTGGAACACACATCATACAATATTACCTCTCTAGTTGTACTCCACAGAGATCAGTGTATTCTGTATATATCTACCAGTGTGTGTAAAACCTGGAACACACATCATACAATATTGCCTCTCTAGTTATACTCCACAGAGATCAGTGTATTGTGTATATATCTACTAATGTGGGTAAAACCTGGAACACACATCATACAATATTGCCTCTCTAGTTATACTCCACAGAGATCAGTGTATTCTGTATATATCTACTAATGTGTGTAAAACCTGGAACACACATCACACAATATTACATCTCTAGTTATACTCCACAGAGATCAGTGTATTCTGTATTTATATCTACTTAATGTGTGTAAAACCTAGAACACACATCATACAATATTACCTCTCTAGTTATATTCAACAGAGATCAGTGTATTCTGCATCTAGCTACCAGTGTGTGTAAAACCTGGAACACACATCATACAATATTACCTCTCTAGTCGTACTCCACAGAGATCAGTGTATTCTGTATATATCTCCTAATGTGTGTAAAACCTGGAACACACATCATACGATATTACCTCTCTAGTTATACTCCACAGAGATCAGTGTATTGTGTATATATCTACTAATGTGGGTAAAACCTGGAACACACATCATACAATATTACGTCTCTAGTTATACTCCACAGAGATCAGTGTATTGTGTATATATCTACTAATGTGGGTAAAACCTGGAACACACATCATACAATATTACGTCTCTAGTTATACTCCACAGAGATCAGTGTATTCTGTATATATCTGCTAATGTGTGTAAAACCTGGAACACACATCATAATGTGTGTAAAACCTGGAACACACATCACACAATATTACATCTCTAGTTATACTCCACAGAGATCAGTGTATTGTGTATATATCTACTAATGGGGGTAAAACCTGGAACACACATCATACAATATTACGTCTCTAGTTATACTCCACAGAGATCAGTGTATTCTGCATAGATCTACCAGTGTGTGTAAAACCTGGAACACACATCATACAATATTACCTCTCTAGTTATATTCAACAGAGATCAGTGTATTCTGCATCTAGCTACCAGTGTGTGTAAAACCTGGAACACACATCATACAATATTCCCTCTCTAGTTATACTCCACAGAGATCAGTGTATTCTGTATATATCTGCTAATGTGTGTAAAACCTGGAACACACATCATACGATATTACCTCTCTAGTTATACTCCACAGAGATCAGTGTATTGTGTATATATCTACTAATGGGGGTAAAACCTGGAACACACATCATACAATATTACCTCTCTAGTCGTACTCCACAGAGATCAGTGTATTCTGTATATATCTGCTAATGTGTGTAAAACCTGGAACACACATCATACGATATTACCTCTCTAGTTATACTCCACAGAGATCAGTGTATTGTGTATATATCTACTAATGGGGGTAAAACCTGGAACACACATCATACAATATTACGTCTCTAGTTATACTCCACAGAGATCAGTGTATTCTGCATAGATCTACCAGTGTGTGTAAAACCTGGAACACACATCATACAATATTCCCTCTCTAGTTATACTCCACAGAGATCAGTGTATTGTGTATATATCTACTAATGTGGGTAAAACCTGGAACACACATCATACAATATTACCTCTCTAGTTATACTGCACAGAGATCAGTGTATTCTGTATTTATATCTACTTAATGTGTGTAAAACCTGAAACACACACTAAATGGTTTTGACAATAGATGTTGGTAGTGTGACATAATTAACGTAAGCATTTATTTCACTGGCTATCAGTCTTGTTGCAAGTTTGCTTTGTTGGATTAGGTTTCCCTAAAATACATCATACAAAGAATTGATGCCAAACACATTAATTGCACCAAAAAATCTAGTGAACCACAGCACACTTATTTATTTGCCCAATATAACTGGTTTGATCATATGACCTGGTCGCCAGTATTGACCAAGTTCTGTTCTCCTTCATGCAGACTTTGATAGTTGAAATATAAAGAAGTTGTGTTCTCTTAACCCACAGGTGCTGGACACACTAATAGTAAAATGATGTGTATTTACTATATAACACATCATATTACTAACTAGTCATGCTACATCACTAGGAGTTACCTCCCTTCGTTCATCATCAACACTGCAAACTCGATTTAGCTACAAACTAGCCGAATACAGAACAACAGCTATTTGCATTTATTTTACTGTATATGAAGTAAAATGTTTTTCTCATCTGCATTAGATATATGAAGTTGCAAAAGCGAGACGCCCATTTCATTTTGCATCCACGTGATTCCTTGATATCGATCGGATTTCGAAATACATACAAGATAGTTCTTACCGGGAATAGCTAACTGCAAGAAGACAGTTACATGCACTTTATGTTCATTTTGATTAATTCTTCAATTTTAATGGACTTTGTAGGCTATAGTTTAATTTGGTCTCAGTATAATGAAACCTGAGATATCAATCAAAACTCACTGATGACACTTGTTTTGATTCTAGTTTCCTCAGTAACAAGAGCCCCTCCTCCTCACGATTTTCCGCCATTGTTATAAGTCTGTGCGTGAATGTAAAGCATATGGTGATTGGTTCTTGCAATATCAGTCAAGCCAATTAAATACCGACTTCCAAGTAAGCTATGGAATGCGTAATAATACAGAACTTTTGATTGGTTAATCTATAATAGTAGCCAATCGGAGAAAAGCTCTCTCGTTCCTTGGTCACTGTTGACTGTTTTGTATACATCCTCCATTGTAACGCATGAATGAACATATCGATCGTAAAGAAGTATGGGTTATGGAGGGTGATAGTTTGTTTGTAGGAAACCATGAATGATACATTCCACCATGTCCGACACAAGTTGTGATATTAACACGAGAAGACGCTTTACACTTCTTGGTTGGAAATAATAGGATTTATCACAACAATCTCCATGACGTGGCTTTTTCGTTCGATGGCACAGTTCCCGGAATTTCCATAACTTTGAAATTGTGTACACATTCAGGAATTGGACAACTGAATTAATCGGATTACGAAATATCACGTTTTTGTATATTTATTTTCTCTATATATCATCGAACAACTAATCTAGTGATTTGAATATGATTTTAGTTGTTTTGATAAATTCCAGTTCAATATAGAAGGCATACATGTACAAGGAACAAATGTGATATGTCTGCTGTATTTAGTGTTGTGCAGTAAGCCTGGAAACCATGTGCTAACATCAAAATACATCATATTTAAGCAAAACCATTTTTTCGTGATAAAGATCTAGCGTAAAATGGGAAACTTTTGTGGGCGAGGGAACAGGTCTGGTCCAAAAACCAGGACAGTTGTTCCAAACCATACCCTTGATCCATCTATCCAACACCGAGCTAAGAACCACCCAAACAAGGATTTCCGAGGAAACCGTATTAAAACCACTAAATATACGTTATTGACGTTCTTTCCGAAAAATATCTTTGAGCAATTTCATAGATTTGCAAATTTATATTTCATTCTGGTGGTGGCACTAAACTGGGTTCCACAAATTCAAGCCTTTGGAAAGGAAATTGCTATGGTACCTGTGATATTTGTGCTAGCTGTCACCTGTATAAAAGATGCCTTTGAAGATTTTCGTCGTTACAAGTCTGACCAAAAAATCAACCATACACAATGTCGTTTATATAAAAGGTGAAGAATATTTGTAAAGAAATATTTATGGTGTTAGAAATTAATGCACCGATAATGGTATTTATATACAACACAGGTTCATAAAGCACAGCCAGTGAAAGGTTTCAATAGTTGTACATTATAATGATTATGTATACAATTATCTTATAATATACAGTGTTAATCCAAAGATTATGTTTAGTAATTAACATAAACAATGTTGTCCATTTATGATTAGTGTCGCACACATTTAAGAGGATTCCAACCACCCATTTGTGTTTGTTAACAGATGGATCAAGTCGATAAACTTAAAAGTTGATTATGAAATGATAGAAATTGAAATTAAATAAGGAATTGATAAGAAATCAAAAATGGCTCAAACAATGCATTTCCATTTGATTATGCTATCCTACTGTCTTGTACATCTTTGAAATAATGTCATCTGCTTTTGTAACAGCATGGCAACTCTACCATACACACTAGAAATGTAGTACTAAAGTTTTAGTCAAAATTCTCGTAACAATTGATATAACCAATTCTTGCAATGGCACATATACCTTGGTCAATCAGGAAAGCTGACTGGTAAAAAGTTGAGTTTATAAAGACCAACACTGTTTCTGTACATATACATAGTTTGTATTGAAAAACAAACCTAATTTCTGTTTTGCTCTTACACACGTTGTATTGAGAACTCTGGTACATACTTGGCAACTATTCGTTGCCATCTATTAATTATGCATAATAAGCACCCAGGGTACTTAAACCATTTGCTTAACTCATTCACCCCTGAAGTCACATTTGAACTCTTCCTATTCAAAGGCTGGAATAGTTCATTTTAAAATTTCAGGGGTGAAAGATTTAAAGGGGAGTGCTTATTAAAAAAATAAAATGTGAGTTATGATGGGAAAAGTTGTGATTATGAACATGCCAGTGTCGCTGGGAAAGGGTCTATATAGTCGAAGGGGGGAGCGCTAATGACAGGGAATATGGTAGGACACATTTCATTATAACTGATGATGGCTTGGTATAGCCTAGGTAGTTGAGACATGTAGACAGATGATAAAACTATGAACCTAGATGTTGAAGCTCCCTCTTTATATTCTTTTTAAATTCCCTCATAGTAATTATTTTCGTATCAGTCTCGGGTGAAAGGTTTGTCGAGTCAACAGCACTTTTTTAGCCAAATTCTTTGTGATATATTACTTTTTAGCTGAACAGCACTTTCTTCCAATTCTGTTATTTATATCATAGAAGTCTTAATTATAAAGAAATTAATTTACAATGTATTGAAGTCTGTTGACAAAAATTTAGCGATTCACTTTTTCACCATGTACATTTGCCTCTTAATTCATTTTACATTAATTCCCTTATTCCAATTTTCACCTTTCTTTTATTTCAGTGATGAAGAACGCTATGTGAAGGGGGAGTGGCATGATATCCATGTTGGGGATTTTGTCCATCTGTCCTGTAATGAAATAATACCGGCAGACATTGTGTTGGTGAAGTCTAGCGACCACCAGGGAATCTGTCATATAGAGACCTGTAACCTGGACGGAGAGACAAACCTTAAACAAAGACAGGCAGTCTATGGTATAGATTATGGAGTGAGTATCACCAGTCGACCTGTTATAAATAACATGCCTATAACTTTCAGCACGATGAACAGGAAGTTTGCATACAATCCCTATTCAGCACAATATTAAACATTTATATTGTGTTGTAAAACCAGATTTACTCAAGATCTTAGGGGCTGGGAAATATCTTTGAGATATCAAGGTGTTCCAGTTTTGTGATAAAACTTTTAAAATATATACCACTTAATATATACATGTCGTGACCGAACTACCTGTTAGAAAGGCCAAGAGTCTGAATTCAAGCTAACCATGCAAATACAATTTCTAACAGGAAGTTTCATATAATTATGTGTGATATTTTAAGTTTTCAATTTTTTTATTTAATTTCTTGCTAGTTTTGGGCATGTATTGAGAGGTCAGACAAAAATGCATCCAATGAGTACTGGTATGAGACATACCAGTACAATAACTGGTATGAGACATACAAGTACAAGAGGTCAGACAAAAATGCATCCAATGAGTACTGGTATGAGACATACCAGTACAATAACTGATATGAGACATACCAGTACAATAACTGGTATAAGACATACCAGTACAATAATGTAATATCAAGCGCTTCAAGTTGATTTACACCATACTAATTTTGAATTTCTGTTTTATTTTATTGGTTTCTAAAATATAAGTGCCTGTAGTACTGAGTGCAGCACTTATCATTGTTCTGGAAAAGTACATGATATCCTAATTGTTAGTGGTGTACCGATAATCGGAAACATCGATTAAATCAAGTTTGAAAAGGGTCCGATCCAATGGTATGAGACATACCAGTACAATAACTGGTGTGAGACATACCAGTACAATAACAGTGGTATGGGACATACCAGTACAATAACTGGTATGAGACATTCCAGTACAATAACTGGTATGAGACATACCAGTAAAATAACAGTGGTATGAGACATACCAGTACAATAACTGGTATAAGACATACCAGTACAATAATGTAATATCAAGCGCTTCAAGTTGATTTACACCATACTAATTTTGAATTTCTGTTTTATTTTATTGGTTTCTAAAATATAAGTGCCTGTAGTACTGAGTGCAGCACTTATCATTGTTCTGTAAAAGTACATGATATCCTAATTGTTAGTGGTGTACCGATAATCGGAAACATCGATTAAATCAAGTTTGAAAAGGGTCCGATCCAATGGTATGAGACATACCAGTACAATAACTGGTATAAGACATACCAGTACAATAGCTGGTATGAGACATACCAGTACAATAACAGTGGAATGAAACATACCAGTACAATAACAGTGGTATGAGACAGACCAGTACAATAACTGGTATGAGACATACAAGTAGAATAACAGTGGTATGAGACATACCAGTACAATAAATGGTATGAGACATACCAGTACAATAACAGTGGAATGAAACATACCAGTACAATAACAGTGGTATGAAACATACCAGTACAATAACAGAGGTATGAGACATACCAGTACAATAACTGGTAGGAGACATACCAGTACAATAACAGTGGTATGAGACATCCCATTACAATAAATGGTATGATACATACCAGTACAATAACAGTGGTATGAGACATCCCATTACAATAAATGGTATGATACATACCAGTACAATAACAGTGGTATGAGACAGACCAGTACAATAACTGGTATGAGACATACAAGTACAATAACTGGTATGAGACATACCAGTATAATAACTGGTATGAGACATACCAGTACAATAATGTAATATCAAGCGCTTCAAGTTGATTTACACCATACTAATTTTGAATTTCTGTTTTATTTTATTGGTTTCTAAAATATAAGTGCCTGTAGTACTGAGTGCAGCACTTATCATTGTTCTGGAAAAGTACATGATATCCTAATTGTTAGTGGTGTACCGATAATCGGAAACATCGATTAAATCAAGTTTGAAAAGGGTCCGATCCAATAATCGATTTTGCTGATGAAAGATCGATTATAAATTCCAAAAGACAGTTGTTATGTGTAATGCTATGTCAATGAGACATACCAGTACAATAACTGGTATGAGACATATCAGTACAATAACAGTGGTATGAGACATACCAGGACAATAACAGTGGTATGAGACATACCAGTACAATAACAGTGGGATGAAACATACCAGTACAATAACAGTGGTATGAAACATGCCAGTACAATAACAGTGGTATGAGACATACCAGGACAATAACAGTGGTATGAGACATACCAGTACAATAAATGGTATGAGACATACCAGTACAATAACAGTGGTATGAGACATACCAGTACAATAACTGGTATGAGACATACCAGTACAATAACTGGTATAAGACATACCAGTACAATAATGTAATATCAAGCGTTTCAAGTTGATTTACACCATACTAATTTTGAATTTCTGTTTTATTTTATTGGTTTCTAAAATATAAGTGCCTGTAGTACTGAGTGCAGCACTTATCATTGTTCTGTAAAAGTACATGATATCCTAATTGTTAGTGGTGTACCGATAATCGGAAACATCGATTAAATCAAGTTTGAAAAGGGTCCGATCCAATTATCGATTTTGCTGATGAAAGATCGATTATAAATTCCAAAAGACAGTTGTTATGTGTAATGCTATGTCAAATATTGCGTAAATTCCCACTTGATCCATGTCCACATTCAAGTGTCACATAGTCAATGTCAGTGGTCAGTGAATACTTCAACAATGTTAGAGGTTTACATGGCAAGAACCTTACGACAAGCACCTTGTAACCTCAACCTTCCCATCGGCGATTTACCCACATTTTCAAAGTTCGGATTTTGATGACATTTAGCGTTTACACATAAGTTTAAATGTTGACAGATTGAAAAAATACCTCTTTTTACAAATCCATGATAAATTCTGCATTATGTCGTGCAAAATGGATTCACCGACATTATAAATTTGGTGGTTAATATAAAATTGGAATTGTTTATGGTAAAAAAGCGGAATTGCTTTTTGTTGCGTCACTTGTATTCGTTTTGTATAATACATGCATCCACATTTCGTATCGACCGAAACCGCCATATTTGAAAGCTAGTAAAATGAAGCTAGCAGGAGTGTTTTTCGTAATAAATCATAATTAATATGCTATGTTATAGTGATTGGAGCATTCAAATGGGGGTAATAAATACCTAAACTGTGGGTACACCTAGTTGTCATCACGTTTTGAGTCAAAACAGAGATATAATAGAATCCTTCCTTCCGCCTAGATTTTGGAAACGAGCATTTTCTCATCAGTTGGCACAATTACATCAGATAATAAATCGGCCGGGCTTTTATATTACATGAGTTAGTCATTTAAACCAATAATTGATTATCGATCGATTATGGAGTTCCGATTATCGATTTTGAATATTTGACCAATTCCCAGCACTACTAATTATATATATATATAATTGTAGGGGAAACTGAAGAAGGGTCTGTTGATGGAAGCTTGCTGTATGCATGATGTTTTAAAAAAAAAATCTTCAAGCCTTTCATGTGATAAAGATGCAGAACATTTAATATCATAGTATAAAAGCTAAAATTAATAATTGATCAATAGGACAACAAACAAATGTCATTCATATCCCTTAAGTTTGAATAAGAGGAGTATCATGGGGGTGCTAAATGTCCCTTAGACATATATCTAGCTAAGTTTGTCTTAGTTACAAATAGGAAATATGATCCCTGATCAGTGAAGTCTTGAAAATTAGAAGAAATGTTATATATTCAGAATGTATATACAGACATTACATTTCTAAATCTAATATAATGAAAGATTTTTTTTTTTACTAGAATATGTTTAAAATGAATGATACTTAATGTATATGTATTACACAAAATCATGTAAACAATACAAAATAAAATTCAAGCATCCTATTGGTGTTATTTCTAAAATTCTAACACTAATTCTAAACAAAAGATGAAATAATATTTCACCAAGTTAGCCAATTTAAATATTCTGAGTGGGGAAATAGCAAACAAATTCAAACAATACGCTAATTTAGACCTGGGGTATTTTTTCATTACTATATCCATGACTTTGACTTTCTAATCCATTCATTGAAGAGGAAACCTGTTGATATGTAGGTAATGGTCAATATCATTGAGCTATTCTGCTATAATATGTTTTATGGGATACTTCAACTGGATGGAGTCTTTTTTCATAGTACTTTGAAATTTCATAAAATTACTTCCCATAGGTTGAGATGAGTAATCATGAGTCCTATTGGTTTTGGTAAACAAAGGTCAAGGTCACTGGATATGACACCATCATGTAAAAAAATGGTACCAATCTGTAGGTATGCCCCTTTCTGTTTATAACTAGCTAGGGCCTTGCGGTTTTCACAGCTACCCGTTTGTCTAAGATGTACATATCCTATTTATTTTGAGGATAGCAGGTAAATGGTCAAAGCCACGTTAGACCATTTCAATGATCAATACATTGGTTTTTATTTTGTCTTATTCATAGGTGTTGACAAGTGTGGTACTGGAATATTAATAAGTTCGAGGCTTACATTGTAATTTTACCTAGTAATTAACTTTGATATATATATACAGCATAGTGATGTGGTCTTTTTACAGTGTTCTTCAAGGAACACTTTAAACCATTTACAGATTGAACATTTATGATTCTGTGAATATGATAAAATACAATTATAAACAATAAGTAAATCATTGGTATATATATATATGTATCATATTAGAAGGAAAGTCTATTGAAGGCATGAAATTTTACTGTAGTTTTAATAAACACAAAATACAAGTGCATACATGTATCAGAAAACTGAAGGGGTTTTAATGCAATGAGGTTGTCTGGCCTTCTGACTGCAGACTCAGCTTTTGTCTACACATTACAAAGTAATAAACTTTGCACAACTTACCAGTGATGAGTCACATCAAACCTTGCATGATCGTCATGCTTTTTTCATTGGATATTAACAGAGTTATGGCCCTTTGTAACAGAATCATGTCCAGAATTGCATTTTATTTATATA